GAACACACACATAGACACACAAATGCAGAATGACACACACACACACACACACACACAGATAGACAAATACAAACACATTTGCAGAGAGTCATATACACGCACAAAGACACACACACACACACACACACACACACACACACACAGAGAGAGAGAGAGAGAGTCTGGGGTCAGTACAGTGGCAGTGCACACACTCTTAAGGCTCTGGCAGCTAGTGGTTGATCTGGGTATTGCAGTCTGAATTGTAAATATTGGAGAGGTGTGTGTTTACAGTGTGCAGGTTGCCAGATTGACAACCCAGACAGATTGCGAGCGTGCACTGTTAGCTGCTCTGCTAATGTTTACGCGTGTAATATTTGTATTGTTATTTTTCAGGACTGAATGAAACACAGTATTCCAGCATCTGGCAACCCGGCCTGCTGAAATATAACTGGCTAAACCGGCAGCGGGCTGGTGATGGAGGCCAAAACAAAGACTGGCATTCTGACACGAAACACACCGAGCGGATCAACATGTGTGTGTTTACCATAGACTGCAAAAGATATGGACGTAGCATCCGACACCCCTAGGATTCTGAAGAACGTAAATGAGGCTACAATTTTGTCATCGCACCGACCGGGGGATACCAAACAAGGGCAAAGAGGCGGAGCGTGGGCGGAGCTACAGAGATCTGCTGGCAGACGGGCTCTTCTGTGGGAGAAACACTGAATACTTCATTATCTGCGACTCGTTTGTGTCTGACCACATGTGCTCAGCTGAACACTACATTAATAGAGTGTTTAGACTATTATAAACACTGCTGTAACACACTGAGCTGCTCAACATTGCTCTTGCGATGTTTTTTCAGAAGACGAAAATCACTACCAAACACTTCAGATATAGTGTGTGTTAGTAAATGCAGGACTATTGATGAACACTGTAGGACAACACTTCAGATGACTGATGCTGAGTGCATTACAGCTCTATAGAACATTAAAGATGATCTTAAATAAAATAAATACATGTATAGAGATGGTATATAAGTATATAAGTTCACTCAGCTGGGAAATGGAGGCTATGTGAATGGTCTGTGAGCACTATTAAGCACACACAGCATGCCATATCATCTGAGAATTGCAGGAAATAATCCCAAAAGGCGACTGACTGTGTAAAGAAACATAAAACTACACAAAAACACGATGAATATGCCGAGTTCAGCAGCTGATCAGCCGGAATCAGATGAGGTGAAGCAACCAGAGAGACCTAGCTGTCACTCAAGTGGCCACGCCCTTAATTATGCAGATTTAATATACCCTAATATAAAGGAAACGAATTAATTATAATAAGTTCACCCCCTCACAGCTGTCATGAAGGCTAATATTAGCTATATCAACCACAATGGTTCTTTGCATCAGGCTGTAAACACCTTTATCCTGCTGTAAAGTGGGCCATTTTAACAGTGTGCTCAATAGAAATCTGCTCTATTATGGAGACAGGACTAGCGGAATCTCCATGAGTCGCAGTTTCAGTAGAGGAGTCACAGTCATACAACAGCTTTAATATCACACAATATCTCATCAGAAACAAACGCTGCAGAAACAACAAACACTGCAGTTTACACACACATATTTCAGCAGCACTGAGGATGATGATGATGATGATCATAAATGTCTTCAATATTATATAATCACTGTAGCGATTCTAAAGGATCCTGAAACAGCTGCAGTGATGATGTGTGTGTAAACTACACTGGACAATTATATTGTTTCAGTTGCAATAATAATACACTATATTACTGTTTTAATAAAAAAAAGACTGCTGTACACACACACACACACACACACACACACACACACACACACACACACACACTGAAGAGACGATCCTGACTGACTGACTGACTGAGCATCTGAAAGCACATCTCCTGAAGAGTCTGAGATGGACAGACACACTCGAGGATGAGCTTTACTCTCACGCAAACTCTTCACACACACACACACACACACACACACACACACACACACACTTACTCTCTCTCTCTGACCCACATCCAGAGCCTTGGAGCACAAATGATCTGAGATGATGCCAGCGCAACACTTTCACAACACACACACACACACACACACACACACACACACACACACACACACACACTGTATTGTTTATATTATGTGAACATTTAGAGTAGTTTCTAGTCTAAATATCAACAAAGACTGTGAATCATGAAGCATTTTCTAGTTGAGCAGAGCATATAGTGTTGTGTTCAGTGATGATGAGTCAAACTGACGAGAGTTTCTCCTTAAAACAGGCAAAATAATATTATTGTTTGTTTTGACATGAGATTATTTTACTTGGGTGTCACGGTGGTGCAGTGGGTAGCACCATCACCTCACAGCAAGAAGGTCGCTGGTTTGAGTCCCGACTAGGATAGTTGGCATTCCGTGTGGAGTTTGCATGTTCTCCCCGTGTTGGTGTGGGTTTCCTCCGGGTGCTCCGGTTTCCCCCACAGTCCAAACACATGCGCTATAGGGGAACTGATCAACTACACTGGCTGTAGGGAATGGACAGGCCTATTTCTAGGGGGGGTCGGGGAGACCCACCCCTCACTGACTAAGGTCCAGAATTTGTCCCACACACAAGCTCATTTGTCCTATTTTGATTGCTACACCATCATAAGCAGTGAAAATAACCCATAGAAAAAGGCCGTAAGTCCAAGTAGAATCCTCTGTTGGCCGTCGCTTTAGTGTGACTTCAGCTGCGCTCACACTAGAGTTTGTGTGGCCGAAATTCTGTCATACGGCGCTGCGAAAAGGGGCAGGAAGATGATTAGAAAAAGCGAGCGATTGCTCCATGACTTAACTTTCTGTCCAGAGAGCTCATGTTTTGACCCTCGATTGGTCTCGCGCAGTCAAGTGATGCGATTTCGCAGGTCAGAGTTCATCAAGCTTGAACTTTACACCGCAGCAACCTGCAAAACTAAACACATGACCCTGCGTTTCCGGTCTGACGCATTCTCGTGGGTATGGATGGAAGTCTATGAGAGGAAAAGCCCAGTGTGATCCGCAGCTTAACAGTTCTTTCTCATGGGTCCAACATCCAGCTGTGCAAGAAAACATGCAATCTGACACAAGTGCAGTCATCCCTGTCTACTGCATTGTGGAGAACAAATATTACAGGTAACTTTTATTCTAAATCTTCAACCATAGTCTTCAAACAAAAAAATACCAATAAAATGTGTGAAGCACCAAAAGTGGACCAGATTAAACTCCTCACTAGAATATAATTTTGGCTAAAATTGTCAAAAAGTGTGTTATATAGTGTCAGAGCCATATTTATTATGCAAATTGTAAAATATTATGTATAGTTATGTTTATTTGTTTATTGCATTTATGTTGTCTACAATCAAAATAATATTCAATTATTACTGCATGCGTTAATCATGCCTTTGCTTATTGATGACTGATCACGTCATATCCTTGTTGCAAAGAGAGAAGGAGACGGAGAGATGCAGTTTTTGACCGTCGTTCCAGATTGTATCGTTATATAAAGGAAAAGATTTTTCCTGCTTTGAAGAACAAATAAACACAAGAAAAGAATATAACGACTTGGCTGAGTTCATCTCGTCAGACTGGTTACTTTAAAGCATCATATTTCCAGCTTGGATAATGGAGTGCCATTATATATTGACTATCCGACAAGTGAATGGAGGATAGTGCTTAATATGTCAGTAAAATGCAGAATTTAAATTTCATAAATAAAATGAGCTGGAGAATTGCATAAAGCTCCACGTTTTGAGGAAAAAGAACCAGCCCTTTCACCAGGCTGGCCACAGGCCTGAGGAGTGTGAGTGAATGAGTGTGTGTGTTTCCCAGTGCTGGGTTGCAACTGGAAGGGCATCCGCTGTGTAAAACATATGCTGGATAAGTTGTTGGTTCATTCCACTGTGGTGACCCCTGATTAATAAAGGGACTAAGCTGAAGGAAAATGAATGAATGATTTACTCTCTTCAGTTGGACTCATTATTGCTGAACACGACACTATATGTTCTGCTTGTCTAGAAAATGCTTCTTGATTTAATTTTTTTGCTGATATTTAGACAAGAAACAACACACAAACTAAGTAATGTGATGATTCAGGGTGGGAGCTGTCAGATCTAACACCATGACTTGTAAAAATGTGGTCAAATATTGCTGCAAATAGAGCAAAACTAGCTTTAGCTCCTCTATATATCTGCACATGAGCAGAGGGGGATAATCAACGGCCGGCAGCAGTGTGTTCAACCATTCTGAATGCATTTTTCACAAACACAGCACCACTGCTCATCTACTGACAGACTTTAGGTAGTAACATGTAAATACTTCAGTTATTTAAATAATTATAATAACACAATCCCTGTCAGGAGACTGGTTTCCCCTCAGTTACTCTGCAGACCTCCATTACAAGCTCAGACTGCACCTGACATGCACAAATCTGACGTGGACACATTAAATTCATATATCACAGGCTAATGATGACACTGTGCTCCTGTGTGCCTCATCTTACCCCGAGGGCCTGGATTTACCCTAAAGCATCATATTTACAGCACAAAGCCCTCCTGAACACAGCCTGCAGTCCAGATCCGTCTAAAGAGGAGATTCCTGGAGGAAATGAATGATCAGCAAGAGCTGCTGAGAGCACACAATGGCGATCAGCGGGAGCGCGCAAACACAAAGACATCATCAGCGTGTGTGTGTGTGTGTGTGTTAATGAAGCGATAGCGATGCGTGTTCGGTTATATGATCAGATGCTGAATCAGAGAGCCGCGGTGACGCCCTACACACACACACACAGGCACGCGCTTCACTGTCTATTAAACAAGCTGCGTGTGCGCGCACAGATGCTGAATGGTGCTGATGCTGCACACACACACACACACACACACACACACACACACACACACACACACACACACACACACACACACACACACACACATACTGTACAACCACACACACACACACACTACAGCACAAAGCAGGAGAATG